AGCTGCCCCAGGCTTCTGGGCTTCTGCACCACTGTTGCTTCTACAAGTCCCGGGGACGGAACCTGGTGACAATGACCACGGCTCCCCATGGTCTACAGTCAGGGGACCGGGCCACCTGGTTTGGCCTCTACTACAACATCTCAGGGGCTGGGATCTTCCTCCACCATGTGGGCTTGGAGCTGCTGGTGGACCACAAGGCCCTGGACCCTGCCCGCTGGAGCATCCAGAAGGTGTTCTATCAAGGCCGCTACTATGACAGCCTGGCCCAGCTGGAGGCCCAGTTTGAGGCCGGCCTGGTGAACGTGGTGCTGATCCCAGACAATGGCACAGGTGGGTCCTGGTCCCTGAAGTCCCCTGTGCCCCCGGGTCCGGCTCCCCCTCTGCAGTTCTATCCCCAGGGTCCCCGCTTCAGTGTCCAGGAAAGTCGAGTGACCTCCTCACTGTGGACTTTCTCCTTTGGCCTCGGAGCATACAGTGGCCCAAGGATCTTTGACGTTCGCTTCCAGGGAGAACGACTAGCTTATGAGATCAGCCTCCAAGAGGCCTTGGTCATCTATGGTGGAAATTCCCCAGCAGCAATGGTGACCCGCTATGTGGATGGAAGCTTTGGCATGGGCAAGTACTCCACGTCCCTGACCCGTGGGGTGGACTGCCCCTACCTGGCCACCTACGTGGACTGGCACTTCCTTTTGGAGTCCCAGACCCCCAGGACAATACGCGATGCCTTTTGTGTGTTTGAGCAAAACCAGGGCCTCCCCCTGCGGCGGCACCACTCAAATCTCTACTCCTACTACTTTGGGGGCCTTGCGGAAACGGTGCTGGTCGTCAGATCTGTGTCCACTATGCTCAACTATGACTATGTGTGGGATATGGTCTTCCACCCCAGTGGGGCCATAGAAATCAGATTCCATACCACAGGCTACATCAGCTCAGCATTCCTCTTTGGTGCTACTGGGAAGTATGGGAACCAAGTTGCAGAGCACACCCTGGGCACGGTCCACACCCATAGCGCCCACTTCAAAGTGGATCTGGATGTAGCAGGTAAGGCATTTTGGTGGGGAGAAGGCTTCTGGAAGAAGGGCTGGAAAGTTGGTTCCATTTGCTCTGGGTTTTATATATATTATCCCAGAAAGAAAGATGTGGATTTTTATGCTTCCCCGTTTGCTGGATGAGAAAGAGTTAGCTGCTGAGTTTTATTTGGATCTTAGCTCACTGCCTGGGTGCAAAGCTGCAGCCTTCCTGCACGTGACCTCATCAGAAGATCTTGGGAAATGGCCAAGCTGAGGGAGGAGGCAGGAAGAGGGTCCCCATTGCCCTCTTCCCTCCCTTGTACTGATCTGGGCTCTGCTGCTGGGAGGCAGCCCGCTGCTTCTCAGCTTGTTTCTGTGTCTGGCCTGTGGTGCTGGTGTGTTGGAGGATCTCTTTGCATTCTACCAAGTCCCTGGCATGTGCAGGTCAGACATGGAACATTCTAGGTTGTACATTTCCTTTGGAGATGGACCCTCCTCCTTTCTGATTTTCCTTCTTTCTCTGGGCACAATTCACTTAAGTGTGAGGGGTCGCATGGATCCTGTGGAGCATTCCAGATAGATTCTGGAGTCTGGTCACAGAGACAGGCAAGGCTACATGATGGCTTGGAGTCTTCATCTTTGTCTTTTCACTGTCCTTCCCCACATTGAGTCCATCATCAGGTTTTTTTTTTTTTTTTTTTTTTTTTCCCTGTTTTGCACCTGCAATATCTCGCCGGGTCACACTGCCATGCCCTGCATGTCCTCTCTCTGCTGTTTCCACTCTTATTGCTCTCAGATCCAAAAGCCACTCTGCACCCAGAGGGCCTCCCATGCACACCAGCCTACCCTACACTCAGTTCTCACTTTCCTCATTGCCTGTGGGATCCTGTCCACAGAACCCCCTCAACGCTCTGTCCTCCACAGCGCAGCTCCAACCTGCCTGGCCATGCTCCGCACAGCTGCACCACGATACTCCACGTCCCTGGACATGTTACAGTCAGGCATCCTCGTTTTTGCTTATGCTTTGTTTCTCCTTAGAATGTTTCCATGTCATCTCTTTTGGTAATGTCCTTTAAGGCCAGGCTAAAAAGTGGCCCAGAAGGGCCCCCTTTTCCTGCCTGCACCTGTATTCCTGTGACCCAGAAGCTGCCTAGGCCATGTTCCTCTCACAGGACAGGCCAGTCAGTGGTTTGCCTGTCTGCGTGGAAAGCGAGAGGGTAAGGATGATGCTCATTCATCTCTGTCTCCAGGGGCGAGTACAGTCCTCTCTGCTAACGAATGCTGAAAGAATGAATGAGTGAAATTGAATGAAATCCCTGATGAAATATTTTAATTTATAGGTCAACAGCTTTGGCTGAAGGATTGCAGGTATCTTGGGGAGAGGGAAGAGAAGCAGGGCACACTCAGTTCTGACCTGCTCTTTGGCCCCCACTCTGAAGCCAGGTGGGGGCAGAGTCCAGAGGAGCAAGGGCAGTTGCATGACAGGCCCTCCCCCACCCTACCCCGAGCAGGACTGGAGAACTGGGTCTGGGCCGAGGATATGGCCTTTGTCCCCATGGCTGTGCCCTGGAGCCCTGAGCACCAGATGCAGAGGCTGCAGGTGACCCAGAAGCTGCTGGAGACAGAGGAGCAGGCCACCTTCCCAGTGGGAGGCGCCATCCCTCGCTACCTGTACCTGGCCAGCAACCACAGCAACAAGTGGGGTCACCCTCGGGGCTACCGAATCCAGATGATCAGCTTTTCTGGGGAGCCGCTGCCACAGAACAGCTCCATGGAGAGAGGCTTCAGCTGGGAGAGGTGAGTGGTCGGTGGTCAGAAAGGAGGGGGACGATGAGAGTGGGAAAGGAGCGTTGGAGGACACTCAGCTCGCACTGTATGTGAAGGGAGAGATCTCTCAGGAAGGCTTTTCCTTTTTTTTTTTTTTTTTTATTAAGACGGAGTCTTGCTCTGTTGCCCAGGCTAGAGTGCAGTGGTACAGTCTTACTGCAACCTTCACTTCCCAGGTTCAAGCGATTCTCCTTCCTCAGCTTCCCTAGTAGCTGGGATTACAGGCGCACACCACCACGCCTGGCTAATTTTTGTATTTTTAGTAAAGACAGGGTTTCACCAGTCTTTACTAAAAATACAAATATTAGACAGGCGTGGTGGTGTGCCAGGCTGGTCTTGAACTTCTGACCTCGTGATCCACCCGCCTCAGCCTCCCAAAGTGCCGGGATTACAGGTGTGAGCCACCACACCTGACCAAAGGCTTTTCTAGTTATCCAAAGGCACCATGGTGGGCACGTTTTCCCCTTGAAGGCTAATGCCCAGGAGTGAGAACTCTTCTGTTTTGGGTGTGAGAGGTGTTATGCTGTGAAATGGCTGGGGATAAACAGGAGGACCCGACCCCTCTTAGGATGTCGTCGGGGATTCTGTAGCACCGAGTCAGTTGTGTGAATGCAATTGGGGAAGCTGAGCTCTGAGCACTCAGCTCCCTCTCATCATAATCAGACAGCAGGATGGGGTCAATGGCCATGGAGGCCTGACCAGTACCTCCCTAGGTGCCAGCTGGCTGTGACCCAGCGGAAGGAGGAGGAGCCCAGTAGCAGCAGCATCTTCAATCAGAATGACCCTTGGGCCCCCACTGTGGATTTCAATGACTTCATCAACAATGAGACCATTGCTGGAAAGGTCAGCTGGCGGGGGTGGGGGGCACGGGAGGAGCCTTACTTTCTCTTGGGAGGGTCCCTGAAAACCACCTGCTGTCCTCAGGGGTGGTGCTGTCTCCCGCCTTCTGCACTACAGGGGATCTGATTGTTATCCTTTGAGGGAATCTTCCTGAGCTGGGTGTCCATATGCAAACACTGAATGAGGCCCTGGGCCTGAGATCCTAGAGCCCTTGTAGTTCCAGTTTCATGGACTGAATCCTTTCCAGGCTCCAGGACTCAAGGAGGGATGGAAGTTACCAGGGAAAATGACATCTCCTGTATCTGAAGCTTCTCTCATTCCTGACTTGATGACTTTCACAATGTTGGCCTGTTTCTGCCTCCCAGCCATGGTTCTCACTCCTCCACCCTTCTTCCCTCAGTTGTGGGGAACTCTTAGAGAGTTAGGGGAAGAGGAGCTGAAGCAGCCTGTGGGTTTCACCCTCTGGCGGTAGGTAGGCAGAGGGCAATATAATGGGAAATGTCAGAGCTGGAGGCTGCAGGCCAGGGACAAGAAGGCGGGTGTCCCTAATATGAAATGGACTGCTTATGCTTTGACTTCTATCCAGTGGGAAAAAATGTTTAAAGACTCCAGATTCCTTGGTAGCTGAATCCCTATCAGGAAATGTCCTCAGCAAAGCCAGGCCTCGTGACCCTCTTCCTTCACCCCTGCTAGGACTTGGTGGCCTGGGTGACAGCTGGTTTTCTGCACATCCCACATGCAGAGGACATTCCTAACACGGTGACTGTGGGGAACGGCGTGGGCTTCTTCCTCCAACCCTACAACTTCTTTGATGAAGACCCCTCCTTCTACTCTGCCGACTCCATCTACTTCCGAGAGGACCAGGATGCCGGGGCCTGTGAGGTCAACCCCCTGGCTTGCCTGCCCCAGGCTGCTGCCTGTGCCCCTGACCTCCCTGCCTTCTCCCATGGGGGCTTCTCTCACAACTAGGCAGTCCCTGGGATGGGGCACGTGGCCAAGGGCTCCAGGGCCAGGGCATGAGGGATGGGGAGCAGCTGGGCACTGGGCCGGCAGCCTTGTTTCCTCTCCCCTGCACCAGGACTCTTTCTTCTACTGCCCTCCCTCACATCCCTTGTGGATGCCAGCTGTGCTGAGTTCCCATCTAGAGAGGTGAGGCATGGCCCAGCCTGGAGCCTGGAGCTGTGGCCAAGGGCTTCCCTAGATAGTTCCCTTTTTTGCTGTCTGTCTTTTCCAAATCTTTTTAGGCCATTTCCAAGGACTCTAAAAGGGGATGATTCCCTGGAGACCCCATGGTAGGGTTACCAGTCCTGCAAGTCCATAGCTGAGCTGGAAGGGATGCTTCTGCTCACATTCCCTCTCATCCAGGTTCCTTCTCTTCCTCCCTCTTACCTGCGTCCTCCGTCTCCTGTTCCTGCCTTCTCTTCCATCCTGCAATTTCTCCTGAAGCCTGACAGGATATCCCTACTTCCCAGCGCCGGGTGCTCCCCCAGCCCTCAGTTGCTAATCAACTTGAGTCTCCTCTCCAGCCCTGTGGAAGTCTCAAAGATGCAATGGGACACCTAACTGGAGTGGCCAATACTTGTGTGTCCCTTGTGTCTGTTGCTTATTGGGAGTAGGAGTTGCTCCCATCTCTGTCCTGGGGCAGGGCGTGCTTCAGGACAGCTCCCTCTGCACATTTGTGTCTGCCTGCCTTGTGCTCTCTAGAGGAGGATGGTCATCGTGACAGAAGCAGCTTAAGTTAGAATTTCAAGTGGTTTTGTGGGTTCAATGATAATGAAGAATAGTCATTTTGTGCCCGGGCTCTGTATTCTGCAACAGCCTGTTTGGGAGGCTGGAAACCAAGGGTGGGCATCAAAGGTGAGAAGCCAAAGCCCCTAGAACTCCAGCCACCCAGCCAGGGGCTGTCCAGTCACATTCAGGCATGCAAATGAGCTGGGCTCTGGGTGGTGGCAGGGGGCGGCCTGGCCTAATGGGAAGGGGTCTGGCCTGGTCCATGCTTGGGCTCCCCTCATCACTGCTATCCCTCCTGAGGTCTGGATTAGGGATGGGGACAAAGAAATAGAGTTGAGAAACAACAGAAACGTTTTTCCCTAAAGGATTGGTTAAATCAATTCTCATACAGCCTTACAATACTATGCAGCTAAAAAATAATTGTATGTCTTTATATACTAATATATAATAATCTTCAAGTGAAAAAAGCAAGACACAGAAATGTGTATAGCACACTTCCCATTTGTGTTTTAGAAAGGAGGAGGATGTAAATACATGTTTGCTTATGTACATCTATTCATTCAGAAGAAATGGATAACACTGATTACTTCTGGGAGGGGAACCAGGAGGTTGGGGGCAGGGGATGGAAGGCTCTTAGCACTTATGCCCTTTTGTACATTTTGAATTTTGAAACGTGACTGTATTATCTATTCAAAATAAACAATAAATGGGCCCAAACAAGAACTGACTTTTTCTTTTTCTTTTTTTTTTGAGACAGAGTTTCACTCGTATTGCCCAGGCTGGAGTGCCATGGCACGATCACGGCTCACCACAACCTCCTGGGTTCAAGCAATTCTCCTGCCTCAGCCTCCCGAGTAGCTGGAATTACAGGTGTGCGCCATCATGCCCAGCTAATTTTTGTATTTTTAGTAGAGACAGGATTACACCATGTTGATCAGGATGGTCTCAATCTCTAGACCTTGTGATCCACCCGCCTCGGCCTCCCAAGACTTTTTTTTTAATTACATTTTTTTTTGAAGCAGGTTGTGGGTAGGGTAAAGTGGGTTAAGGAATGGGATCAGGGATGAAATTTTCTCAAGTTCCTGAGAGCCAGAGAAGCAAGTGTGGCCTCTAGTAACTCCTTTTGCCTTCTCATGCTTGTACATTTTTTTTTTTCTGAGATAAGAGTCTTGCTCTGTTGCCCAGGCTGGAGTGCAATGGCGCAATCTCGGCACACTGCAACCTCCGCCTCCCAGGTTCAAGCAATTCTCCTGCCTTAAGCTCCTGAGTAGCTGGGATTACAGGCATGCACCACCATGCCCAGCTAATTTTGTATTTTTAGTAGAGATGGGGTTTCACTATGTTGGCCAGGTTGGTCTTGAACTCCTGACCTCAGGTGATCCGCCCGCCTCAGCCTCCCAAAGTGTTGGGATTACAGGTGTAAGCCACCATGCCTGGGCTGAACTTCTCCTTTCAATGCATATACTGTTGTCCCCACCTCCTTACAGCTCCTTCTAATGGCTACTTGCATCATCGTCAGTGCTGGGGGAGGGGGAGCAAAGAAATTCAGATATCCACCCCCACCCACTCAGCATCTTGTTCACTTGAATTTAGTTGCCTTGAACCCCATCTCCAGACCAAAGATCATGAGTATATGTGATGTGTGTGTAATTGTGTATCAACTGTCACACACTTTTATATGAAAACGTGACCTGTTGTGTCTGCCTCCTTACATCTCAGCATGGTGATGATGCCACCTGCTCCAGGCCCCAGATGAGGGGAGGCGGAATGGACATCTAGATTCTTAGAGCATCAGTTAAACTCAAGTCAGGAGGGCCACAAGGTGAACCCTCAGCCCCATGCCCCAATTCAGTCTCTTCCTTAGACCACAGAATTTGTCTGGAGTCTTGGCCTCAGACTTGTGGTCAATTGTCTAGGAGTGATTACTGGATGAGGATGGCAGGTTCTGAAGGAACTGGTGCCACCAAGGCTCAGATCTTTAGGACCTGGGACCCAGTGGCCTGAGATGGAGCTCAAGAAGGGAATCCCTGAGGCTTGGGTCACAGGGCTTGACTAGGACTTCTCCAGGAATGTGGACATGGCAACCCCCCGTAAGGACATCAGATGTGGCCACTTTCCTCACCTCTTTTGTTTTTGAGATGGAGTTTCACTCTTGTCTCCCAGGCTGAAGTGCAATGGCACAATCTCGGCTCACTGCAACCTCCGTTTTCCAGGTTCAAGCGAGTCTCCTGCCTCAGCCTCCCAAGTAGCTGGGATTAGAGGCGCATGCCACCACACCCAGCTAATTTTGTATTTTTAGTAGACATGGGGTTTCTCCATGTTGGTCAGGCTGGTCTTGAACTCCTGAGCTCAGGCAATCTGCCCACCTCGCCCTCCCAAAGTGCTGGGATTACAGACGTATACCACCACGCCCATCTAATTTTTGTATCTTTTGTAGAGACAGGGTTTCACCATGTTGGCCAGGCTGGTCTCGAACTCCCGACCTCAGGTGATCCACCTGCCTCAGCCTCCCAAAGTGCTGAGATTACAGGCATGAGCCACCTTGCCTGGCCTTATTTTTTTTAATATTAGATAGCCAGCTCTATGACCTTGGAAATTAAACTCCAGGCATGTTTGTTGAGGGTGCTCATCTTTAGGGTTAGGTCAGACTCTGGAATCTGGGACTTTCCAGGACTCTCCGCTAGTCTTCACTGGACAATGATCACTGCTGTTAAACTCACTTTGCACTGCCCTTGCCAAGCCTTGCCAAGGTGAAGACAGAGGAGGGGCCTGGGCATGAGTTCCTCTCTGAGGCTGTCACTTCCCTAAGGCCTTGCTTGGGTGGGAGAGTGGGCTCTAGCCTCTCTCCCTCACACACACACACACACACACACACACTCCCTACTTGTGAATCTCACAAAACTCCCCGAAGACCTGCCCTCTGTAGGGTACCTCTCAAAAATGTTTCTGCTTCCCACGTTGATCCAGGGAGCTGTCATCTGTAATCCAAGCATTTAGGGAGGCTGCAGCACAAGAGCCCAGGAATTTGAGACTGCCGTGAACTGTGTGATGACACCACTGCACTCCATGCACTCTAGCCTGGGTGACATGGCAAGACCATGTCTCAAAAAAAAAAAAAAAAAAGTCTTTTTAAAATAGCTTTTTCATGAAGAGCTTCTACAGAACATGAAAACCAGCTCAGCAAGAGAAAATGTGGTTCTTGGTTTCCCTGAGGACGAGGAGGGCTCGCCTGACTGGAGAGGGGAATTATTATGTTAAAATTCCATCCTGGGGGAAAGGGAAACCATACTTTTCTCACAGCCTTGAAATGAACCCCACCACTGCTACAGCTTTAAAGAATAAGAGAAAGAGGCTGGGCGCAGTGGCTCACACCTGTAATCTCAGCATTTTGGGAGGCTGAGGCTGGAGGCTGTAATTACGAGGTCAGGAGACCAGCCTGGTCAACATGGTGAAACCCCGTCTCTAATAAAAATACAAAAATTAGCCTAGGGTATGGTGGCATGCACCTGTAGTCCCAGCTACTCTGAAGGCTGAGGCAGGAGAATTGCTTGAACCCGGGAGGTGGAGGTTGCAGTGAGCCGAGATTGTACCACTGCACTCCAGCCTGGGCAGCAGAGTAAAACTGTCTTGAAAAAAAAAGAAGGAGAGAAAGAGGAAAAAAAGAAAGAGAAAAGAAAAGAAAGAGAAAGAACGAACAAGAGACAGAAAAACCAGGCAAGTTTTCTTATCAAAATATATCAAAGTTTCTTTATCAAACTACATCCAATGGCATAAACATTACTGGATAGCCTGACCCTTCTGGTGTTGATTTATCTGGTTAAACTCTCCAGGTTTCCAGGTGTCTGTCTCACTGCCTTCCTGCAACCACAACCTTGCTGAAAACATGCGCCACACAAGACTTGATGATCTTACCTCCTCTGCCCACTCCCATCCTCATCCCCAACTCCCACCAAAGAGGCTGATCCTTGGCTGCTCCTGGCTTGTGCTGAACTGTTCCAGGCTCCCGTGTCTTTGCTGGAACATCCCCTTCCCCTTCTTTGCCAGGCGAATGCATCAGCTTCAAGGTCAGCTCGTGTAGTGGGGAGACCCCATAAGTGGCAAGGCAGGAGCCAGAAGCCTCAGCCTATTTCCATATAAATAATGAAGAAGAGAGATCCAAGATGGCTGATCACAGCTCAGGATTGTAGCTCCCAGTGAAAGCGCAGAGAACCAGAGGACGCCACACTTTCAGACGAATTTTTGTTGCTCACGCACCAGGAGATTCCCAGTGGAGGAGCCCCACGGGTCGCCAGCACGACTCCTGTGGCCGGCGAGGCGGTTTTGCTGCTGCCTTGGTGTGGCAGTTCTTGGTGCAGACTCAGAAAAGCACCATCAGTCATAATGCCGCTGTTTTGGCCGGGGCAGTGGGTTGCTCAGATTTTAGCGCTGGGAATCAACAAGTTGGACGTCCACTCAGAAACCCAGTTATAAAGACGGTAATTATAAAGACCACGGATGGATAAATCTATAAAGAAGGGAAGAAAACCCAAAATCAGAACGCCTCTCCCTCTACAGGGGATCACAGTTCCTCATCAGCAACAGAACAAGGCCTGATGGAGAACGAGTGTGTTCCGTTAACAGAAGCAGCCTTCAAAACGTGGATGATAAGAAACTTCTGTGAATTAAAAGAACTTGTTCTAACCCAATGCAAAGAAACTAAGAACTTTGAAAAAAGGTTTGACTAAATGTTAACAAGAATACACAATTTAGAGAGGAATATAAGTGAATTAATGGAGCTGAAAAACACAACACAAGAACTTCACGAACTATGCGCAAGTTTTAACAGCCAAATTGATCAAGCAGAAGAAAAGATATCAGAGGTCGAAGACCAACTTAATGAAATAAAATGTGAAGACAAGATTAGAGAAAAAGATAAAAAGGAATGAGCAAAGTCTCCAAGAAATATGGGACTATGTGAAAAGACCTAATCTACGCTTGATAGGTGTACCTGAATGTGATGAAGAGAATCAATCCAAGCTGGAAAATACGCTTCAGGATATTATTCAGGAAAATTTTCCCAACCTAGCAAGGCAGGACAATATTCAACTCCAGGTAATACAGAGAACACCACAAAGATATTTCTCAAGAAGACCAACCTCAAGGCACATAATCGCCAGATTCACCAGGGTTGAAATGAAGGAGAAAATACTGAGGGCAGCCAGAGAGAAAGGTCAGGTTACCCATAAAGGGAAGCCTATCAGACTCACAGCAGATCTCTCAGCAGAAACCCTACAAGCCAGAAGAGAGTGGGGGCCAATATTCAACATCCTTAAAGAAAAGAACTTTCAACGCAGAATTTTACATCCAGCCAAACTAAGTTTCATAAGCGAAGGAAAAATAAAATCTTTTGTGAACAAGCAAGCACTCAGAGACTTCATCACCACCAGGCCTGCTTTACAAGAGCTTCTGAAAGAACCACTACACATAGAAAGGAACAACCAGTATCAGCCTTTCTAAAAAATACCAAAAAGTAAAGAGCATCAACATAATCAAGAATTTACATCAACTAATAGGCAAAACAGCCAGCTAACATTAAATGGCAGTATTAAACTCACATATATTATTATTCTTAATTTAAATCGACTAAATCCCCCAATCCAAAGACACAGACCAGCAAAAAAAGCCAAAACCCATCAGTATGCTGCATCCAGACCCATCTCACATGCAAGGATACACAA